TTTTTTTTTTTTTTTTTTTTTTTTTTTTTTTTTTTTTTTTTGAAACACATTTTCTTGCAAAAAAAAAGAAAATTAGTTCATACATAATACAGAAACTCATACATGGGGGAAGAATGTACAATCTTTTCCTGGAGTCTAAACAATGTAAAAAAAAAAGAACCAAGAAACAGTGAAATGAATATTAAGATGCTTGGGGAATAGGCAATAGTTCCTTCAAAATAGTTTCAGCCACCCCATCAGCATTTGGAAACAAATGACCAGCCCCTGGAATCTCATGATACTTTATCCAACTTAGTTTCTGAGCAATGATCCTTTGTAGCTGTATCGGCACAAGCCTATCATCATCCCCTTGCCACAAATGCACCGACCCTTCACCTTTCGGAAACGGATTCTCAATCTTCATAGGATCAAAACTCCATTTCCCAAACCCAACAATCAAGTCCCTGTCTAACGATTCGTGTGCACCTTGTTGCGTTGTTTGGTTCTTGTAAGACACTCTTACAGCCAGCTTGGGTAGTAAAGCCATATCTTGAGGAGAGAATATCGTAGGGCTTGATTGCATCACAGCTGATGTTTGGAACAGCTTTTGATTGTTCCACCAGTAGAGTAGCCATGGTGTGTAATGAGTAACGAGCATGGTAAATCTTTCGGTTTTAGTTTGCTTGTTCCATAGCTCCCAAGTTAAACTATCCGGGAAACTAGGCCACCATGAGTTGGTTACAGGAGCAAGCAGTGTGGCTCCAGCGAGTCTGTGAGGGATGTACTTGAGAACACCCCAAACGGCTTGGCCTCCCATTGAATATCCAACCACGTAAAATTTAGAACCAAGTTGTAACTGGTCAGCGAGTTGTTCAACGTCTTGAGCTAATGTCTTTTCACTGCGACGGGAGTGAGGATCGCTCTCTCCATAACCAGGTCGGTCATATGATACTACGTAGATGCCGTTCTTCTCAAGAAACCCCTGATGATATAAAACAATGCAAATTACTCTCATCTCCATTGTAAACAAAAAGCTAACATTTACAGGATCTGAGGTTTAGGAGCCTATAAACATTTTTAGATTAATTTTAATATATTTTTTTTTTGATAACATAGGAATCATACGGCCAATGTATAATAGCGCCATTTAAGATTTGGACGAATAGAGAATATTTTATCCGGTTGTGTCCAGAACCGGTCATGTCTTTAAAATAGAGATAAATATAGCGAGAGAGAAGAGATTGAATTATTACAGGACGAACACGGTTGGCAATAACAGCATCACGTCTGAAGGTGGCGAAAGCATGGATAAAGATGATCTTGAAGGTTGCATTTTTCCTACTAACACCATGTTCTTCGTAGGCTAGATAGCGTCCATCACTTAGCCGTATCCTAGGGGCAGTAATAGGCGGTCCACCGGGCGTACCGCATCTGTTGGAAGGTGGAGGTATACAAGAAATAATAGCCCATGCTCCTAATGCAATCAACACTATTATAAAGGCTCCTCCTACTAAACCTGTCAAAATTTCTCAAAAAAAACAACAATCAGTTATCACATTTTTCTTTTGAAAACTTACTTTTGCATGTCAATTAATTAATCAAGAACTCACATTTCTTCATGTTGATAGATTTTCTCAAATGTGATACCAACTTATAATCAAATAAATTGGTAAGTATAGGTTTAAAAAAAGTGTTGGTTCTTGGATATATATAGAGTCGGTAAAACTTAAAATCGACAGAAGAAAACCTTACATTTTCATCTCACGTATGTGACAACGTGAATCACGGTGGATTCGGTGAAAGTTTTTTTGTTTTGTTTGAACCATTAATCCAGAAATAGGCGGCTGTAACAAAAAACACAAACCATTACAACAATTATTTCTACAAATGTATTTAACCATTTAACCACTTTTGTTTAAGGAAGAGCCAATGATGGAATTTATACATGTTTTCTAGTTGTCGGGACATCTAAACATGGAGGGTACATGAGGATCATTAGAACTCTTCCAAGGAGTGGTGATAATGCTCCCATGGCTTACAATGAAGTTGTCTAAGAGGTTATTATCCTTTACAATGAAGTTGTCTAAGAGATCCTTTATTACACAACTGCTAAACTCTTGTTTTGTAATCTCAAACCTGATGTTTAATTAGAGTATTAAGTGAGAAGATGGTTCCTTCTTTCTGGTTAAGAGTTTGTAGGAGATGTGATGGCGGGTAAGAACGTTGACAGCTCGATCTAGGGGTTCTTACCACTCAAGAGACCTGCTTCTTGCTATGATGAATTGAATCAAATCGATAAACAAGGAAAAGAGAAAGCTCTCAAGTTTTTATTAATCAAATTCTGTGTTCTAAAAGCCAAAGCTAAAACCAATATATAGTGATTCTTTCTCAAAGTCACAGATGACTTAGGAAGACTATTACTAACGTAAAGAGGAAAATCAAAACAAGAAGAAAAAGGAAATAACTAAAACAAGGAAAAGGAAAGCCGTTGAAGGTTACGTAGGTGTAGTTTCTGCTGCATCAGGTCCCCCCGGGTGAGAAGGATTCGACCTCGAATCTGGAACATGATCAGGAGGAAAGTAACGAGAGATGTATTTCACGTTGAAAACATCAGACGTGTTGATGTCCGCTGGTAGTTGCAGACGATAGGCGTTGTCATTAATACGTTCCAGAACCTTGATAGGACCGATCTTCTTAGCCTTTAGTTTATTGTATGCATGTGATGGCATATGGTCTCGAGTAAGGACAACCCAAACAAGATCGCCAACCTCAAAGACAAGACGTCGACGATGTGAATCGGCCGCATTTTTGTATTTAGCAACAGTAACATCCATATTTGCCTTAGCCTGAGTATGAGTATCCAAGATGGAGTCCACAAATGCGTCAGCTCCTCCATGAAGTCGAACGCGATCCGAGAGAGTAGAGAGGTCAGGCGGGCCACGAGGCACAACACCGTAGATAATTTGAAAAGGGCTGAAACCAGAACTTCTATTGAGAGCATGATTGTGTGCAAACTCTGCTTGCGGAAGCTTTGAATCCCATGTTTTAATAGAAGAACCGACTAAGCAACGCAACAGTTTCCTAAAGAACGATTGGTAACTTCAGTTTGACCATCGGATTGAGGATGATATGCAGAACTCATATCAAGGCTAGTATCAAGAAGTTTCCACAAATAACGCCAAAAGTGGCCAAGGAAACGTGAATCACGATCCGATACGATGGACAACGGAAGACCATGGAGACGATAAAATCTCGCGAAAGAACAAGATAGCCACTTGAACGGCACGAGATGAAATGAACCATTTTAGAGAAACGATCAACAACGAAAAATATTGAATCATAACCTTTTTGAGTTCGCGGAAGGCCCATGACAAAATCCATACTGATATATGTCCATGGCTGTGTAGGTACGGGAAAAGGAAGATATAACCCAGCGTTACTAGCTTGACCTTTGGATGTTTGACACGTAACACAACGTTCAAACAAAACGTTCGACATCACGGCGAAGAGACGGCCAAAAATAAGACGTCGCGACCAAGTGTAGCGTACGATCTCGTCCAATATGTCCTTCTCCATGAAGTTCAGAGATGAGCTGTAGGCGGAGACTGCAGTCTGGGATGCTTCACCAATTATCTCGGAACAAAAACCATCATGAATGGAGTAAAGAATGGAGGAAGGGGCCGACGAATAAGCTGTGACAGCTTCCCAAATTGGTCCAAAAAACTGATCAACGAAAGAGCTGAAGCCTAGAACCGAGACGTGAAGAACTGCCAATAAAGAATGACGTCTACTTAATGCGTCTGCGACTTTGTTTGTAACTCCAGATGTGTGCTTAATAACGAAGGTGAACTGCTGGAGATAAGAGATCCAAGACGCATGCCGGGCGGACACCTTATCTTGATTACCAAGGTGTTTAAGAGCAGCATGATCCGTATAAAGAACAAATTCTTTATGGAAAAGATAGTGGCGCCAATGCTTGATTGCTTGGACGACGGCGTAGAATTCAATATCGTAAGTACTGTATCTGAACCGAGCCCCTGAAGTCTTTTTGCTAAAGAAAGCAATAGGGCGATTTTGTTGACTAAGAACCGCACCAATGCCGGTTTTGGAAGCGTCGCAATGTAACTCAAATACGGCAGTAAAGTCAGGGAGAGCAAGAATAGGTGCAGAACTTAACTTAGTTTTAGTTATGTTGAATGCATTTGTAGCAGTTGGCGTCCAAGTAAACGTGCATGTGCGAATGCAATCCGTGACTGGTGCCATGATTGAACTAAAGTGTGGCACAAAGCGGCAGTAGAAGGACGCTAATCCATGAAAACTACAAGCTTCCGAGATTGTTGTGGGCTGCGGCCACGAGCTAATTGCTGAGACTTTGTCGGGATCAACAGAAAGTCCAGTAGCAGAGACTATATAGCCCAAGAAATTCACTTCCGACGAACCAAAAGAACACTTTTTAATTGCCGCAAAGAGCTTGTCGCGGCGCAAAACCAAGAGTACTTCTCGGAGATGTTGCAAATGGTCGTCAATGGATAAGCTGAAGATGAGTATATCGTCGAAATAGACCACCACAAACTTGCCGATGAAAGGTCCCAGTGCTTGATTCATTACTCGCATGAAGGTACTAGGCGCATTTGAGAGTCCAAAAGGCATGACTAACCACTCAAAAAGGCCTTCTCGGGTTTTAAACGCTGTTTTCCACTCATCACCTTGGCGGATACGGATCTGATGATAGCCGCTTCCGAGGTCAAGTTTCGAGAAAACTCGAGCCGTCCCAATTTGGTCTAAGATCGTCCAACCGTGGTATCAGGAAACGATAACGCACTGTGATCTTGTTAATAGCTCGACTATCAACACACATACGCCAAGAACCATCTTTTTGGTACTAATAAAGCAGGGACAGCGCAAGGACTAAGACTTTCGCGCAAGAACCCTTTCGAAACCAAGGCTTCCACTTTCTTGCGAAGTTCTTCGTGCTCACTCGGACTTATTCGATAAACGATTTGGGAGAGATGCGTCTGGAACAAAGTCAATTTGATGTTGTATGTTGCGTAGTAGAGGTAGGCCGGGTGGTAGATCATCCGGAAATACATCTGAGAATTCTTGCAAAATTGCTGTAAATGCAGGTTGAATGCGTTGAGTTGAGGGGGGTGGTGTGGGCGTCGATATGAGTAATATAACGTGCCCTTCCTGTCGCATAGCAGCTTCGAACGGTGGCTTCTGTGTGATGACTTGATGGTTTTAAGGTGAAAATCCGGTTGTTAAATTTGAATGTATAAGTGTTAAGGAAGCCGTTGTGAGTTACTTTGCGATCGAACTCCCATGGACGTCCCAACAACAAGTGACAAGCATCCATTGGTACCACATCAAAATAAAGCTGATCACGTTAAACGTCGCCAATTGAGAACGTGACCAGTGCTCTCCGAGAACACGGACCTCGTTATATTTCTTAAGCCAGGCAAGGTGATAAGGATGTGGGTGTTCCTCGTCTGATATTTGCAATTTTTTTACTGCATCCGTGGCAATTACGTTTTTACTGCTTTCGGAATCAATAATAAATTTGCAAACTTTTCCTGCAATGGTGCAGCGAGATTGAAAGAGGGCGTTACGTTGTGGGTGTTGCGCTGGTGCATGGGGAGCCAAACACGAACGTCGTAGCATTAACGAGACTCCGGAATCCGGTTCCAGTTCTTCTGGAGATTCGTCAAATACTGGAGGCTGATCGTCGTCGTGGTACTCTAGTTCCACATCTCGACCAGATGCATCGAGCAAGAGTCCTCGCCGATTACGCGTTGGACAGGCCGACTGGCGGTGACCTAGTTCACCACAAGCAAAGCAACGCAAGGTTCCAACTCTATTCATGCGGTTAGGTTCAGCTGGTGTCACAGTTGTCTCAGGAGTAGTTGAGGTTGTCTCGTTTGTTGTTGTCTGAGCCGTAGGTGGCTGAGTCGTACGAGGCTGGCGTGTCGTACTCCAGTTTGAGAAATTGAACTTTGTCTGTGATTCAACGGTTAAGGCTTGTTGATGAGCTTCGGAAACTGTGGCAGGGTTGAATAGGTTCAAGGTGTGTTGGATCTGGAGGCGGAAACCTCCAATGAATCGTGCCACAATTTGGCTCTCTGAATCTTGGAGATCAATTCGATCCAACAGCAGAAAAATTATCAGTGGCGTATTCTTCCACGGAACGCGAACCTTGGTGGAGATGGTGCAGTTTCTGGAACAAAAGAGCTTCATAGTTATAGGGAAGAAGCGTTTTCTTCATGTGCTTTTGTAATTTATCCCATGATTCGATCTTTGGTTTGTTCAAACGAATTCGTGAGGCCTTAAGTTGAGACCACCACGCGGCTGCTCTTCCACGGAAACGCATAGCTAGCATGGGGACACAACGCTCAAAAGTCGCATGTTTGAATTCGAGAATCTCGTCGACTGTAGCAATCCAATCAAGGTCTTCCGGAGCTTGAGTACCATGAAACTCTGGAATTTCACATTTAAAGTTACGCTCCCAGCGGTCTTCGTTGTTGTTGTTGTTTGTGTTCTGTTGTGCGCGAGCTCTAGGTCGCCCTAAAATCGCGAATGGATTTGGATCTGCATCGTCGTCTGAGGGTCCGTCGTCGTCACGTTGA